AAAAAAAAAAATTGGCTGGCGTGGTGGCTCATGCCTGTAATCTCAGCACTTTGAGAGGCAGAGGTGGGCGGATCATGAGGCCAATAGTTCAAGACCTTGTCTCTGCTAAAAATACAAAACTTAGCCGGGTGTGGTGGCGGATGCCTGTAGTCTCGGTTACTTGGGAGTCTGAGGCAGGAGAATTGCTTGAATGCGGGAGGCAGAGGTTGCAGTGGGCTGAGATCGTGAGCTACATTCCAGCCTGGGCAACAAAGCAAAAGTCCATCTCCAAAAAAAAAAAAAAAAAATTTCATAGACTCTAGTCTCAAACTCCTGGATCAAGCGATCTCTCTGCCTTGGCCTCCCAAAGTGTTGGGATTACAGACCTGAGCCATGATGCCCCCCTGGCTGTCTAATTTTTGGTGTCTAAGCCTTGTATTGCTTCAGATCCAGATAGAATGTGGGCTCCCTGGGTTCTGAGCACTAAATGAGGGCTAAGTGGAGGTCTTAGGCATGCTGAAAGCCAGAATGCTGTACTTCTCCCTTACCCCGTAGAAAATTGACCCTGAGGTGGCCGCCTTCCTGCAGAAGCTGCGAAGTCGAGTGCAGATTGGTGTGGTGGGTGGCTCTGACTACTCTAAGATCGCTGAGCAGCTGGGTGACGGGGACGAAGGTAGGCGTGGGGCTGGGGGTAGCGGGAGTGGGGAGTTTGAGAGATTCCTGGGCATCTTCAAAGAGCCAGTCCTGCTTCTCTGGGGCAGAAGAAGAGAGAGAGCAGCCAGATAGTTCCCTCACTGATTCCACAAACGTTTGAGCACCTTCTATTGCCCGGCATTGTGCCAGGCCCTAGAGAAACAGCTGGGAACAAAGCAGGCAGAACTTGCCCTTATGCAGTTTACTTCTCATTTCTCCCTGCTGAGTCTTGATTTCCTCATCTTTAAAATGGGCTGAATGGGCTGGCACAGTGGCTCACACCTGTAATCCCAGCATACTGGGAGGCCAAGGCAGGTGGATCACTTGAGGTCAGGAGTTCAAGACCAGCTGGCCAACATGGTGAAACCCCATCTCTACTAAAGATGCAAAAATTAGCTGGGTGTAGTGACACACGCCTGTAGTCCCAGCTACTTGGGAGGCTGAGGCAGGAGAATCTCTTAAACCTAGGAGGCAGAGGTTGCAGTGAGCTGAGACCACGCCACTGCACTCCAGCCTGGCAAGAGTGAGACTCCATCTCAAAAAAAAAAAAAAAATCAGCTGGGCGTGGTGGCACATGCCTGTAATCCCAGCTACTCAGGAGGCTGAGGCAGGAGAATCGATTGAACCTGGGAGGCAGAGGTTGCAGTGAGCCAAGATCAGGCCAATGCACTGCAGCCTGGGTGACAGAGTGAGGCTTCATATAAAAAAAAAAAGGGGTGGGGGCAGAATTAATGATGGCTACTATTTGTCAAAAATGATGATGTGTTAATGTCATTTCATTTAATCTCTACAATCACACTTTAAAGTAGGTGTGATCATCCCATTTAACAGAGAGGACGACTCTGAAGTTATCTAGGAAATTGATTAGACCTCAGATCTCCTGGACTCAGCTCGGTCAAAGTGGGTGCCTCCAGTTCCTTGAGCCAGAATCTTCCTTGAATTTTTCCTTTTCCGCACCCCTTGTTTATTCCATCAGCAAACCCCAAAATATCTTTCTGTCCCCTCTGTCTCCATTTGCCACCAGACATCCCATCATGCCACCCAGACACTGCAGCAGTCTCTGGGCTGTGCTCCCTGTGCCTCCCATCTCCCACCTACTCCAGTTGCTTCTCGAGGCAGCCAGAGCTGAAAACTCCAACTGTCCCATGCAGCCAGCTTTGAGAACACAATGTGACAGCAGCTGTAGAATGGAAGGAAGCCCCTTTGCAGAGGGGCCGGGGAGCACAGACTGGAAATGATGCCGTCTGCCAGAGAGTACTGCACGGCTTCCAGAGGAGGGAGCTGGATCTTGGAGGATGAGTGGCAGGGAAGCCAAGGCAGGACGGTCCTGACAAAAGGACCTGCACGGATGCCTGTGTGCAGAGGCCCAGATCCTTTGGAAGAAAACCAAGCTGCAGAGGGAGAAAGGCTGGAGAAGCAGGTTGCAGCCTGGGATTGAACAAATGGCCTTTGAATGTGAAAACAAGGGTGTGAGCTTCCTCTCTCTTTACTTGCCTATGGCATCACAGACGTGGTCTCACACTCTTTCTTTTTCCCGTCCTCTATGTGGCACCAAAGTCATTGAGAAGTTTGATTATGTGTTTGCCGAGAACGGGACGGTGCAGTATAAGCATGGACGACTGCTCTCCAAGCAGGTCAGTGTGCCAGGGGCTTAGCCAGGGGTGCCCCACTTTTCCACAGTGGGGCAGTCAAGGGTGCCTTCTGTGCTGGGCTGGGGGAGAGATGCTGTGCCTGTCTCAGGGTCAGGCAGCCTAGGCCACACTCAGAGCCCTGTGTTCCTTGCCCAGACCATCCAGAACCACCTGGGGGAGGAGCTGCTGCAGGACTTGATCAACTTCTGCCTCAGCTACATGGCTCTGCTCAGACTGCCCAAGAAGCGGTGAGGTCCCATCAGCCTGATCTCCAGAACCAGGGGCCTGAGGGAGGAGAAGTGTGGGTCCCTCAGAGGGAGCCTGGAGATACTTGGGCCCCTGATTTTTTCGGGGGGAGTGTGGATTCTTGTCCCCTTTGAAGTCCTATAAGGCTGGGATCCCAGGTGGGGCCAGATTTGAATTCAGGTTTGCTCTGGTTCTCTCTGGCTCCCCGCACTCTCGCACCACCAGTGGAACCTTCATCGAATTCCGGAATGGCATGCTGAACATCTCGCCCATCGGCCGGAGCTGCACCCTGGAGGAGCGGATCGAGTTCTCCGAACTGGACAAGGTACCATTAGCTGTGCAACCTTAGGTCTGTGGGGCCTCAGTCACTCAATTTCTCTGAGCCTTTATTTTCTCATCAGTAAAATAGACTGCAGGAGGTGTTCTGATTCAGCTGAACCCTTTTGGGCACCCACCATGCGCCATTGTCGCAGACACACCTGCATCTTTCCAATGCTGCTGGTCCCCCTCCCTAGGTGACCAGCACCAGCAGCCACTCACTGAGCCACACCAATACCTGGGAACACCATTTCCACCTTCCCACCGACATCAGGTCCAACAACTCCTATTACCTCAGCCTCTCAAGTCAGTGTCAAATCTGTTCATCTGCAGAACTGAGACCCCACTCTCCAGATTACCCCTTTCCCCCACCCCAGCCCGCTCCAACTTTCCTCTCTGTCTCTCCCCACCCTCGCATAAGCCCTGTCAGCCTGCTCTCCAACAATGCCACTGAGAACCTTTCTTTTCTTTTTTGGAGATAGAATCTCATTCTATCACCCAAACAGGAGTGCAGTGGCATGATCTTGGCTCACCACAACCTCTGCCTCCCAGTTGAAAGTGATTCACCTGCCTCAGCCTCCTGGGTAGCTAGGATTACAGGTGTGCACCACTACACCCGGCTAATTTCGAATTTTTAATAGAGATGGGGTTTCTCCATGTTGGCCAGGCTGGTCTTGAACTTCCGACCTCAGGTGACCCTCCCACCTCCGCCTCCCAGAGTGCTGGGATTACAGGCATGCGCCACCACGCCCAACCATATATTTTAAGTAGAGATGGGGTTTCACCATGTTGGCCAGGCTGGTCTTGAACTTCCGACCTCAGGTGACCCTCCCACCTCCGCCTCCCAGAGTGCTGGGATTACAGGCATGCGCCACCACGCCCAACCATATATTTTAAGTAGAGATGGGGTTTCACCATGTTGGCCAGACTGGTCTTGAACTCCTGACCTCAGGTGATCTGCCTGCCTCAGCTTCCCAAAGTGCTGGGATTACATGAGCCACTGTGCCGGCCCATGAGAACCTTTCAAACATGTCAGCCACATCTACCCCCAGCCCCGCCCCTCTCTTACAATCCTTCCATGGTGCCTCGTTGCCAACTGGATGATGTCCTAACCCTCTGCTACAGTGCCCCAAGCCCTGAGAGCTCTGCCTGGCTCCAGCTCTCCGGGTCTCCTCTCTGTGTCCTTCAAGCTCCACTTTCTATTCCTGGAACACACCAAGGTCCCCTCACCTCTGCCTGTGCTACCCCTGCTAAACCATGATGTGTGTTTTGCTTTTCTCCCCACTGCCTCCCTCCCTCTCGGAGATGGATCAATCCACCCATCCAAACCTTTCCATGCTGGCCTGTCCACATCATTCCGTCATTCTCTCTGACCTGTTCCTCAGCTCTCCTGCCCTCTGCTCCAGCCATGGCCTCCTGGCTGATACTAGAGACAGCAGTGTCCCACTTCAGGGCTGTGCCTCAGCCAGAGTATACTTCTCTCAGGCCCAGCTCGTCCCTCCGTGGGGCCTCCCAAAGCACCATTGCACTTCCTGCTCCTTCCCCTCCCTATTTCTCCCCAAGCAGCCTTGGCCATATTCTACCATCTGCTTTTAAAATCCAAATTACTGTCTGTCCCCTTCCCAGAACTGTAAGCTCTATCAGGGATCAGGACAGGGATTTCTGTAGCTTGCTTTTTTTTTTTTAAAGACAGAGTCTTACTCTGTTGCCCAGGCTGGAATGCAGTGGCACAATCCTGGCTCACTGTAACCTCTACCTCCCAGGTTCAAGCAATTCTCCTGTCTCACTCTCCCAAGTAGCTGGGATTACAGGCTTATGCCACCATGCCGGGCTAGTATTTGTATTTTTAGTAGAGATTGGTTTTACCATGTTGGCCAGGATGGTCTTGAACCCCTGGCCTCAAGTGATCCACCTGCCCTGGGCTCCCAAAGTGCTGGGATTACAGATGTAAGCCACTGAGCTCAGCTACGGGGACTTTTTTTTAGTTAAGATTGGTCATTGGCAAGGAAACCCTCCCTCACACACACATGCTGAGAGGTGACTCCTTGTCCACCCAGGTTCCCAGTCCCAGCTCTACCCGTTTGCCTCATAACCTGGAAAAGCAGCTTTTCTACTGAGTGCCTCGGTTTGCTTATATGTAAAGTGGGGGTAATAGCAGTTCCCATCCCATGGGGTGTCATGCGAGATGGCACATGGACCGAGCCTGGCTTGGGATTGGGGATTAACACACAAACTCCCCACCCCAGAGCCCTGGTTCTTCTCAAGTATTTTTGGCTCTTGTTTGCCCCCTTCGGCACTGGAGGGGCATGAACCTTCCTGATCTGTGCTCCCTGCACCGGCCCAGATCTGGTGTAAATGCTTGACCCAGCTCCAGTCTTCCAGAACTCTGAGGGAGGGACGTACTTCCCTTCCTTAGATGAGGACGCTGAGGCCAGAGGGTGAGTGACCAGCTCAAGGTCACAGTGCTGGTTGGTCCCTGCCGAGGCTGGCCTTGTACATGGGGCTGTCCCGTGACCAGCCTTGTTCTCTAGAGAAGGGAGGTGCAGCAAGCCTTGGCCATGTGGAAACATTTCTTCAGAGCTTAGGGCACTCTTAGCAGTAGCCCTGGGCCTACAGAGTGGCTACTGGTGGGGACTCTGGCCTCCCTGCAGTCCATCTACTGGCTGGAAAGCCAGGCCAAGGCTGGCAGGGGGCTCACATCCCTCATCTCTGCTTTCTATGAGAAGGAAGCAGTCAGGGTTCATTCATTACTTCTTCCTTTAGTCCAGGAAATAGCCTCAGAGAGGTCAGGTGACTTGCCCATGGTCACACAGCTGAGTACAGCAGCCAAGCCTGGCTACCTGCCTTCAGATCTCAGGCTGGGGGTGTCTGGCTTTATATCTGACATCCTCCCTGGGTCCTTTCTCCAGGCTCCATGCTGCTGACCACTACCTGCCTTTCTGCCTCAGTCCTACCCAGCTCTGACTACAGGGCCATACCAGCCACCCCACTCCTGTGCTCCAAAATCTTCAGCCCCTCTGGGTCCCTCAGAATGTGGTCAGACTTCCCAGCCTGGTCTTGAGACCCTCTGTCAACTGAATGTCCTGCTGGCTGGTTTAGATGTTCAGCCGCCTCTTGGGATGGAGATGGCCATTCCCCTTTGTGGCCCTCTGAGATGGAGATCCTAGAGAGATCCTAGGGGATGGTGGGGGACTGTCCCCCTGCTCCATGTTTGCAGAGCTCCTACCAGATTGCCTGCTCAGAGGGACGGGACAGGCCTGGGCACTACTGAGTCCCCTAGCCCAGCCACATCTTTGCACAGTGGGTGCTGTGCCATGCCTGGCATCCTGTCCTTTCTGAATGCCCACAGCCACCTCCTCACGGCTCTCTTGCTCTCAGCTCCTGCACTCATTTCTGAGTGTTTGCTGTATTGAACTGGGCACAGCCAACAGGATGAAGCCCTGCCCAGAGATAGGCACTGACGTGGGACACTGACTGCCCGTCTCCTCAGCCTTCCTCTTCGTTTCTCTCCTCCAAGGCTCCCTTCAGAAGACCCAGCCCACAGACCCATTGGTAGCCCAATCCCTTCTGGATTTGGGCCCTGGCTCTGCCACCAAGGCTAGGTGACCTTGACGAAGGCATGACCCCTCTGAGGCTCAGTTTCCTCATCTGCACAGTGAGGGGGTCCTGCCCATCTGGAAGGCTCAGCAAGCTCACATGGATTGTGTGTCCAGCCAGGGCCTGGCACACAGCAGGTCCTCTGAGCTGCCATCTACCCCCTACCCTCTGCAGAAAGAGAAGATCCGGGAAAAGTTCGTGGAAGCCCTGAAAACAGAGTTTGCTGGCAAAGGGCTGAGGTTCTCCCGAGGTACGTCCACCCGGCAGAGTGACTGGAAGTCCTTGTGTAAGGGATCCTCCTTGTACCATCCGATTCTCCCAAGACCAGGCTGTGGCCCCCAGTGGCTTTAGGAGCCCCTCCCCTGCTCAGGGCAGAGGGGCTGGCTGACCTGACGCAGAAAGGGGCTCAGTGTTTACCGGCCCCCAGTTTCCCCACCTCAGTAGTTACCCAGTGTCTCAGCCCAAAAACCTAAGCCTCTCCCTTGAATGCTCTCCCTGGCCCATTCCTAAGTCCAAACTCTTAGAACTCCCAGGGCCCCATGTCTGGAATCCCACTGGTGCTCACACCTTCACTGCCAGCTGCTTGTCCCAGGCTCCAGCTGACCCTGACACAGCCAGGCTCCCCTCTGACACCTCACCCATTCCCCAGTGGCCAGAGAGGCAGGAGCTGGAATCATGGTGTGCCTCTGCTCAAAGCCCTCCCAAGGCTATTCCTCCCTCTCCATGTGAAGCCCAGGCCCTGCAAGCCCTCCCCCTGCCTCTCCCAGCATCCTCCACTGCTGGGACTCTAGTCCTTTTCCCTGCCTCAGGGGCTGTGTATTGTTCCCCAGCCATCCTCACTCGGCTCAGGTCCCAGGTCATTGTCACCTCCTCAGAGGTCTCCCCTGACCACCCTGGCTGGATGAGCTTCCCCCACCCATTTCATGGTCTTGTTTGTTCTCCAGCCTGTGTCATAACTTCCTTGAGGATCCTAAGTCTGTCCCGTGTCCTGATCCTGGCCCTCTGTACGTACTCGAGGGTTGTTGAATGAGTGAATGAATGAGCAACCCCTCTGCTAGTCTTTTCTGCCCCGCTCAGGAAGGAATAACATTCCCCCCCTCCCCCCCGCCAGGAGGCATGATCAGCTTTGATGTCTTCCCTGAGGGCTGGGACAAGCGCTACTGCCTGGACAGCCTGGACGAGGACAGCTTCGACACCATCCACTTCTTTGGGAATGAGACCAGCCCTGTGAGTGTGCTCCAGCCCAGGTTTCCCCCAGTGCAGATCACCCGAGGTCAAGGCCAGAACATGGGGCAACACAAAAGACCTCTTGGTGGGGGGGTGCTCCTGGAGAACCACCATAGCTCACTAACCCCATTACACAGATAGGAAGGCTGGGGCCTCCAGAGGGCCGGGCACTTGTCCCACATCACACAGCAAGTTAGGGCAGGAAGGTGATGAGGGCTGAGAAGGTGGGCTTCCTGGCAGTTCTGAAGGGCCAGGAGGAGGGGCGGGTCTATAGCAGCCGATGTGGAAAGCGACTCCCGCTAAGTATGCCTTCTCTGCCCATCCTGTGTGCAGGGTGGGAACGATTTTGAGATCTTTGCTGACCCCCGCACTGTCGGCCACAGCGTGGTCTCTCCTCAGGACACAGTGCAGCGATGCCGAGAGATTTTCTTCCCAGAGACAGCCCATGAGGCGTGACCGGGGCCCACATCTGTGCATCGTGACTTTTGAAAAGTTTGGCCCAGGCCTAAAGAGAGGTCCTGCTGTTGGATAGATGCCGGGGCCCTTCCTCTGGCCCAGGACGCCTGCTGCAAGGCCCACCCAGATGGGGGCCAGAGTCTGTGCAGACAACGTCCCCTGCCAGTCAGCTCCTGGTGGCATTGGCTCCGTCCTCCCAAGGCCCAGAGTGTTCTCTGTGCTCCACCTGGCGGCCCAGGCCACAGCCGCTGCTTGTAATTCGGTACAGAACAGGTTTTTTTTCTGCGCCGGGAGGAGGCATGAGCAAGTGTCAGTACGAGATCTAGCCCGCCCTGCCTGCCCACCCTGGGCAATGGGGTACGGTGGGGAAGGTGCCTATTTTAGAGAACTTTGTCACAGTATTAAAGTTCCCAGAATGAAGTAGGTGTCAGTTGTGTCTGAATGGATAATTGGCCCCAGTCACTGTCACAGTCACCACTTTGCAGATGAGTAAACAGCACAGAGAGGGCAGGGACTTGGCCCAGGTCACACAGAAGTCTCTGATCCAGTCAAGGAGGGGGGCCATTGAAGCCCCAAAGAAGAGGCAGTTTGGTGTGTCTGCCCCCAGCCCTTTCCTTGGGGACCCTGACACAGAGGCAGCTTCAGGCCACAGTGGGTCACAGTTGAGGGTTTATTGCCAATGTTAGGAAGAATGGGGGATCCGGGTGGCCAGGGGTCTTGAGGGGAATTCCAAATGGGCGCTGCAGGGCCTGTGAGTGGGGATGAGAGCTGCTGCCCCCCTGCCACCCAGGCGGCCCCAGGGCTGATGCCACCATATCCTGACTGCTAGTGGAGCCTTAAAAGGCAGCCTCTCCACAGGCTGGGAGCCTCAGGGGCCCCCAGGAGTCAACCCTCACCAACAAGCCCTCTCTCAAGGGGGCCAGGGGCCCTTTTTCCTCATGGGACAGGTTGGGCCATGCCCATTTTAGGGGGATGACCAGCATACCTCAGCAGCTCTGGGCTCCTAGATTTTGTGCCGTGGGCCCTGGGGGCAGGGGCGGGATGCAGGCACCCCGGCTGATCTCTACCCTGGGGTCTTGGGGCACCTACAAGGCCAGGGATCCTCCTAGACAGTCACTGATCCCCTCATCTTGGGCATTTGAGCCCCCAGTGTTACTCACCCTGGCCTGTCCTCCCTTGAACCACGGCCCCACTTCCCCCTGTCAGATGATGTGCTCTCTAGAAGGGAGGGTGGTGGGCAGGGGGTGTGACCAGAGGTGGAGGCAGACAGGGCCCTCCTCTTGGCCTCCCGGGCCAGGCCAGCCTCGCCCCTGCTTGGGAGTGAATGCCCACCAGCTTGGATGCACACACATCTTGGCCCCAAAAGGACTCCAGGTGACAGCGATAGTTGCACATCTTCAGGGATGGACACGGTAAGAGCCACACCTGAGCCGCTGGTCTATCAGGGCCTTGGCAAGAGGGGCTGACGTGGGGGCCACAGGGCCTGTCTCCCAGGCCCTCCTCGTGGGTGCCCAGGCCTGGCCCTGCCTGATGGACGTGTGTTCATCCATCATCGTGGCGTCCTCAGCAGCCGTCAGCTGGGTATGACCCAGAGCATCAGTGGGGCTTGTGAGTCAGGGGAAAGGAGGGCTGCAGCCAGGCTGCAGAGATGGACCCCCACCCTCTGCAGACCCCTGGGCTCAGCTCAGCACAGCACAGGGGGAGGAGCCCAGAGGCACTGCCAGGCTGAGGAGGGGGGACTGGCCAGCAAAATGGGAGTCGCAAACCCCTTCCTCCCTCAGGCCCCTCTTCCTGCCTCTCCAGTGCACTGAGAGAGGAGAGCAGGAAGGAAGGCTGGCCTCAGCAGTGTGGGGGCCACACGCCTCCGTGTCTGCCTCTTCCCCTGCCAGAGGCTGGGAGGCTCCCCCAAAGCGCCCACCGGCCAGGCTTCTGAGGGAGGGTCCAGGCCGTGGTGGGGGAACCTCAGCCCAGGGAGGGAGACAGAGAGCCTGGCCCCAGGCCAGGGACTGACACGGGACGGCTCAGGGGCAGAGGCCAGGGGAGCGAGGCTCTCGTGGTTCAGTCACCACGGGGACAAGTAGGCAGGAGGGCGAGTGGGTCCTGCGTGTCTGAGGCAGGGAGGGGAAGAGAGAGGCAGTGGACAGCGAGAAGCCGAGTCTGGTGGCCTTGCCCTCCACCCACCTCCTGGCCAGCTCACACAGCAGTCACGGGTCATGGGGTGAGTGGAGGCACACGCTCACGGCCACAAGCACAGACAGACAGACAGACAGACAGACAGACAGACAGACGTGCACACTGAGGCCACTGAAGGACTGATCAGCTGGGGCAGTGGGGCATGGAGCCGGCTGCTGCCCGTTCACCCTGTGTGGCTCCCCACCCCCTGGCCAGCTGGCCTGTGAGTCACCCAGCCTAGGAGCCCACGACCTGGCCAGACCACGTCTCATGTGGAGTGTGGGGGGCCAGCTGAGTGAGCACCACCTCCACGGCCTGGAACTTCTGGTTCTTGGGCGGGATGGGGCACATCTTGTAGGTCACCTCGTCGCCCTCCACTGGCACGTACTCCCCCTCGATGCTGGCAGGCAGGAGAGGGGGATGTCAGCCCAGCAGCAGGCCCTATGGCCCAGACAGCCCTGCAGCCTGGCCTTGGGGACAGCCTGGCCCTAAGCCTGGCTAGGCCAGGAAGGCTGGCCAGGCCTTGCTTCTGAGAACCTCAGCTCCTGAATCTGTAAAATGGGACTCATAGGCATGGTGGCTTATGCCTGTAATCACAGTACTCTGGGAGGCCGAGGCAGGTGGATCACCTGAGGTCAGTATTTTGAGACCAGCCTGGCCAACATGGCGAAACCCCATCTCTACTAAAAATACAAAAATTAGCCAGGTGTGGTGGCTTGTGCCTGTAGTCCCAGCTACTTAGGAGCTGAGGCAGGAGAATTGTTTGTACCCAGGAGGTGGAGGTTGCAGTGAGCTGAGATTGCACCATTAAGCTCCAGCCTGGGTGACAGAGTGAGTCTCAAAAAATAAAATAAAATGGAACTCATAAGCTGTACCTCACTTTCTGGGTCCCTTGGGGACTGGGATATCAAAGGGCACAGGGAGGTCCCTAAAGCTCCGAGAAGCTCAGTGACCTCCCGAGGTCCTCTTGGCATTAGGAGTGGGTGGCACCAGGCCTAGACATCCATCTCTACTTCCTGGCCTACCTGCCTAAAGCCCTTTTCCAGGATGAGAGGCTCAGGAGCTGGCCCAGTCCTCTTAGGCCTCCATGATGCTGGAACAGGATCCAGGGCCCAGCCACTGGCTCCCAGGCTTCTGGGGTCCACATGCCCACTCCCCACCTGCTCCCAGCCCTCCTCCCAAAACGCACCCTCAGCCCCTACTCAGGGGACAGAAAAGGTGCCAAGAAAACAGACCTCAGGGCCGGGCTCATGCCTGTAATCCTAGCCCTTTGGGAGGATGAGGTGGGTGGATCACAAGGTCAGGAGTTCAAGACTAGCCTGGCCAAGATGGTGAAACCCTGTCTCTACTGAAAATACAAAAATTATCCAGGCCTGGTGGCAGGTGCCTGTAATTCCAGCTTCTTGGGAGGCTGAGGCAGAGAATTGCTTGAACTTGGGAGGTGGAGGTTGCAGTGAGCCGAGACTGCACCACTGCATTCCAGCCTGGGTGACAAAATTTTTGAGGCACCATGGGGGATGCTAGGGCAGGGGCCAAGAAAAGGGAGGTGAAGGGGACTCACTCAGACACGTGCACAAAGATGTCCTCGGACCCGTTCTCGGGGGTGATGAAGCCATGGCCCTGAGCGCGTGAGAACTGCTTACAAACGCCCTTGAACACGGGGCCAGCTGAGGCACGGGCTGTCCTGGAGAGAGGGTAGTGGGATTGGAGCTGTGGCCTGAGTCATCCCTCCCAGCCCCTACAGTCTTCCTGAGCCCTTTCTGCTGAGCCTGCCTCAGGGCTGGGAAACTTGCCCCAGGCCAGAAACCACACAGTGATCCCCATTCAAGGAAAATGAGGCCAGACACGGTGGCTCACACCTGTAATCACAGCACTTTAGGAGGCTGAGGCGGAGGATTGCTTTGTCCTAGGAGTTTGAGACTAGCCTGGGCAAGATAGGGAGACCCTCCCATCTCTACAAAAAAAATTTTTTTTTTTTTTTTTAAGACAAGGTCTTGCTCTGTCACCCAGACTGGAATGCAGGGAGCACAATCTCAGTTCACTGCAACCTCCACCTCCCAGGTTTAAGTGATTCTCGTTTCTCAGCCTCCTGAGTAGCTGGGATGATAGGTACTAACACCATGCCTGGCTAATTGTTTTTATTTCTTTCTTTTTCTTCTTTTTTTTTTTTTTGCTGTCACTCTTAGGATATGCCTAAGTTACTTAATTTTTGGCATTTTTAGTAAAGACAGGGTTTTGCAGTGTTTGGCCATGTTGGCCAGACTGGCTTGAACTCCTGGCCTCAACTGATCTGCCTGCCTCAATCTACCAAAGTGCTGGGATTACAGGTATGAATCACCGTGTCTGGCCCCAAAATTAAAAAAAAAAATCAGCTGGGGTTGGTGGCATGCGCCAGTACTCTCAGGAGGCTGAAGTGGAAGGATCACTTAAGCCCAGGAAGTCTAGGCTGCAGTGAGCCACGATTGCACCACTGCACTCCAGCTTTGGTGACAGAGCAAGACCCTGTTCTTCTCAAAAGATCCTTTGGCCTCCTCCCTATGGACTCGTATTACTCCCCCATGTGACCTCATCAGTCATCTACCCCAAAGGTCCAGGGCTAGTCTTTGCCCTGTCTGCCCCCCTTCTCCAAAGGTTAACTCCATGTCTTGGGTTTTGCCCATGTGGTGCCATCTGCCTGGAACCACCAGCTCCATTCTTCACATGATACATCTTCCAAACCCAACCAGGACATCATCTCTTCTCGTACCCCATGCTGGGTCCTCACCCCTAACCCTGCTGGGTGGTAATGGATGGCGAACAAGTTCCCTCTGGATTGTAAGCAGCTTGTGGGCTGGGGCATTGTCTTATTCATCACTGGATCCCCCCTGGTCAGGAACTCAGTAAATCTTTGTGAAATAGATGGATGGATGGATGGATGGATGGATGGACGGATGGATAGGTGGGTGGGTGGGTAGATGGGTGGATGGATGGGTAGATGGAGGGGTGGCTGGATAGATGGGTGGGTAGATGGATGGATGGATGGACGGGACGGGTGGATGGATGTATGAACAGAGATGGAAGAGTGGATGGGTGGGTGGATGGATGGATGAATAGGAGGATGGATGGGTGGATGGGTGGATGGATGGATGGATGGGTGGATGGATGGATGGATGGACAGGACAAACATTGCAGTTACTGGAAGGTCCACACAGTTCTCCTGTCCCTGGTGAGGACAACAGGGGTTGGAGGAGGATAGAGATGGTTAGTCCCTCTCCTGGCAAATGTCAAGGGTCTGGGCAAGGAGCAGGTACTCACGCTGAATAGGTCCTGGTCCGCTTGGTGGGCAGAGGGCTGGGTAGGTCCCGAGGTGAGATACCACCCCGCTCCCAGACCCTGCTGCCCTCCCGGTGAAAGGGGAAGGTGGGCCAGACTGGGGACTTGGGGGAGTGGAGCGGGGGCACAACTGGGGGTGATGTGGACTCCGAAGTCATGGTGGGGCCAGCAGGAGAGCCTGGTGGGCTCTGGGGCCCAGGGGCCGGTGAGGGGTTCAGGCGTCCTTGCGGGCAGGGCCCAGCCTGGCCCTGCTCTGCAGCCTCACCAGCCACGGGCTCCGTCTGGAAGAGGAAGAAAGAGGCACAGGTGAGTCCAGTCCAGGGGAGCTGCTCCTAGACCCTGGCCACAGTCAGGAGGGCCAGTCCCACCTGCTATCCTCACAGCGTGACTTCAAGGCACAAACAACCCCATCGAGGCTCAGAGTCCTCACCAGAAAAACAAAACTGGAGATCATATGACCCCTAAGTCCTTCCAGTATGCAGTTCAGTTCTCTAAGTGCAGGGGCCTGGGAGGTGGCTCGGTAGGTGGCCAGTGATGGTCTGGAATATGGTTCGGCATAAGAGTCAGTTGTTTCAGAGTCACACATCTGGGTTCAAATCTCAGCTTTGTCACCTACAACTTGGTGACCTCAAGCAAGCCAAGCCACATATCAGCTCCAACATGGTGGGTGGGAGTGCGGGCTCCAGACCCAGGCCTGGGTTTGAATCCTGCATCCTTCACCTTCTGGCTACATGGCCTTGGCCCAGGTCAACATTCTTTTTTTTCAGACAGAGTTTTGCTCTTGTTGCCCAGGCTGGAGTGCAATGGTGATCTCAGCTCACTGCAGCCTCTACCTCCCTGGTTCAAGCGATTGTCCTGTCTCAGCCTCCTGACTAGCTGGGATTGCAGGCACCCACCACCATGCCTGGCTAATTTTTTTTGTATTTTTAGTAGAGACAGGGTTTTGCCATGTTGGCCAGGCTGGTCTTGAACTCCTGACCTCAGGTGATCTGTCCGCCTTGGCCTCCCAAAGTGCTGGGATTATAGGCGTGAGCCAACTCGTCTGGCCCATTGGTGAACACTTTTAACCTCTGACTCTGTTTTCTGTTCTGTAAAATGGGGCGCTTTTTTTTTGATACAGGGTCTCATCCAGGCTGGGGAACTGACATGATCATGACTCACTGCAGCCTCCATCTCCTGGGCTCAATCGATCCTCCCTCCTCAGCCTCCCAAGTAGCTGGAACTACAAGCATGCATCACCACATCAGGTAGTTGTTTGTTTGTTTGAGACAGGCTCTTGCTTTGTCACCCAGGCTGGAGTGCAATGGTATGATCTTGGCTCACTGCAGCTTCTGCCTCCTGGGTTCAAGTGATCCTCCTGCCTCAGCCTCCCAAGTAGCTGGGATTACAGGTGCCTGCCACCACACCTGGCTAATTTTTGTATTTTTAGTAAAGATGGGGTTTCACCATGTTGGCCAGGCTGGTCTCGAACTCCTGACCTCAGGTCATCCACCTGCCTCAGCCTTCCAAAGTGCTAAGATTACAGGCCTGTGGCCTCCATTTCATACCCCTTCTGCCCCAGAGCTTGGAGTTCCCAAGGAAGGAAAATCACCCAGCAGCTTCCCATAAGGTTTCTTCAGAGTTCAGAGCTCAAAAACCCTGAATACACTGCATGGCAGGCCTGGAGGAGGCCAGGAGTCCATTGGAGCAGGTCTCCTGGCCTCTGCTCAAGATTATACAGCAAGTGGAATTTTTCTGAGCCAAGATGCTGAGCTGGCTCTGCCATCCCTGGGGATGGACGTGGAGAAGTATCCTCCCTCTTCCCAAAACCCTCCCCCTCCAGCCAGGAGGGTGAGAGAGCCCTGGGCCTGGCTCCGCGCATGGCCTCTCAACCCTGAAAAGGCTGATATGGGGCTTTTGGGTCCGAGCTCACTCCAAGAGGCAGGGCAAACCAGGCTTTTCACCCTTATTTTAGAGAGAAGAAAATGGAAGCTTCACGAAGCAACCACACACACGGCTGGATGCAGTGGTTCATACCTGTAATCCCAGCACTTTGGGAGGCCGAGGTGGGCAGATCACTTGAGGTCACGAGTTTGAGACCAGCCTGGCCAACATGGTGAAACCCCATCTCTACTAAAAATACAAAAATTAGTCGGGCTGGGCATGGTGGCTCACACCTGTAATCCCAGCACTTTGGGAAGTCAAGGCGGGTAGACTATCTGAGGTCAGGAGATTGAGACCATCCTGGCCAACATGGTGAAACCCCATCTCTATTAAAAATACAAAAATTAGGCCGGGCGCGGTGGCTCAAGCCTGTAATCCCAGCACTTTGGGAGGCCGAGGCGGGTGGATCACGAGGTCAAGAGATTGAGACCATCCTGGTC